GGGGGGGCGGTGGGGGGGGGCGGTAGGGGGGGGCGGTGGGGGGGGCGGTGGGGGGGGCGGTGGGGGGGGGCGGTGGGGGGGGCGGAACGTCAGAAGACGTCCCTCGCCGGGGGCGACGGAGAGCGGCGACACGTCTCGAGTTTTCTCGGTTCCTCTCGGGGCGTTCCGCACCCGCCAGGGGACCCACCCGCCAGGGGACCCACCCGCCAGGGGACCCACCCGCCAGGGGACCCACCCGCCAGGGGACCCACCGCCGGCGAGCGACGTCCGTGGAGCCGATCCCCGCCCCTGGCGGCGCCGCCTCGCTGCGGATGGACCAGGCCTGCCACGGTCTGCCGGCTGGGTGGGTGGGTGAGGGGGGGGGGTTCCGGTTTCCCGGCCACGCTCACAAATTTGGTCGATGGGGGGGAGGGGGCAGGGGAGGGGGCAGGAGGCTTCTCGTGAATTGAAATGTGCCAAGGGGGGGGGGGAGGGGGCTGCTGAATCGTTTTGCTGGGGGGTGGCTTGGAAAGTTTTTAATTTCTGCCGATTTGGCACGAGCACACGCGTGTGTGCCGGTGCGTGCGTGTGTCTGTGTGCGTGCGTGTGTGTGTGCGTTCACGTGTGTTAGTGCACGCATGCGTAGGTGCGTGTGTACGCGTGTGTGTGTGCGTAAGTGCGTGTGGAGCGGTCGTGCATTCGGTTAACGCACAGCGCTATGAACCCTGCCAGCCCGAGTTCAATTCCCGCTCACAGCCATCATCAAATACCTGATCCGGTGCTGGGCCTCCTCTAGGCTTACTCGGCCTTATCCTTCATTGAGTACCTGGTGCGGTGTGTAAACATCAGCACTGGGGAGATAACGGTGGCCGAGCGTGATTCTGGACACACCATCCCCACTCTTGCCTCGTGTGCCGGCCTTGTGCTCGCTAACAGCGCTTGCCCCAGCAGCCCAGTGTACGCGACAACGGGGGATCTGTCTCTCGTATGTAGGTGGAACAAGAGATGGTGCACAGTTGAGTTCAAATTTAAACTAATCACGCATCAACAACGACACAAGCCGTGCGCTCGATTCGTAATGAGCAGGGACCGCCGCACTGCCGTGTTCAGACGACTTCTCAAATTCCCATCGGCAACTTCGCTCGCCTCCCCTTCACCACAGGACGACATTCGCCGCTGAGTGGTATGGACGTCACCATGGTGCCAGGCTGGGTGCGCTTCTGAGGCTGTCGCAGGGGGCGTGGAGAGTTCGCTCCCGCCAGGAGGTCGACTCGCTGAGACGACCGGCCGCTGCGCACCGCATCCCCCCTCCCAGCCACGCTCACCCACGCTCACCCCACACTCACCCCACACTCACTCACACTCACCCACACTCACCCACTCACACTCACCCCACACTCACCCACGCTCACCCCACACTCACCCACACTCACCCACTCACACTCACCCACACTCACCCACTCACGCTCACCCACGCTCACCCACGCTCACCCCACACTCACACTCACCCACGCTCACCCCTCGCTCACCCCACGCTCACCCCACGCTCACCCCACGCTCACCCCTCGCTCACCCCTCGCTCACCCCTCGCTCACCCCTCGCTCACCCCACGCTCACCCCTCGCTCACCCCACGCTCACCCACGCTCACCCCTCGCTCACCCCACGCTCACCCCTCCCTCACCCCTCGCTCACCCCACGCTCACCCCTCGCTCACCCCACGCTCTCGACGTGCACCGTGTTGGGGGGGGGGGTATCATTGCCGTGTGACGAGTAGAGCCTCTCCCTCCCGCCCGCCCGTGCGTCTGGTTCTGGAGTGTGGGAGCCCCGTCGTCGTCACCATCATCGTCGTCACCATCATCATCGTCGTCACCATCGTCTTCATCTTCACCATCGTCGTCGTCACCATCATCGTCGTCGTCACCATCATCGTCATCATCACCATCGTCATCGTCACCATCGTCATCATCACCATCGTCTTCAGCTTCACCATCGTCTTCATCTTCACCATCGTCGTCGTCACCATCATCGTCGTCGTCACCATCATCGTCGTCACCATCGTCATCGTCACCATCATCGTCGTCACCATCGTCTTCATCTTCACCATCGTCGTCGTCACCATCATCGTCGTCGTCACCATCATCGTCGTCACCATCGTCATCGTCACCATCATCGTCGTCACCATCGTCTTCATCTTCACCATCGTCGTCGTCACCATCATCGTCGTCGTCACCATCATCCATCGTCATCGTCACCATCACCATCGTCATCGTCACCATCGTCATCATCACCATCGTCTTCAGCTTCACCATCGTCTTCAGCTTCACCATCGTCGTCGTCACCATCATCACCATCGTCACGATCTTCATCATCGTCATCGTCACCATCATTAACACCATCATTAACACCATCATCGTCACCATCATTAACACCATCATCGTCGTCATCATCACTATCTTCATCATCGTCACCATTGTCACTATCTTCACCATCGTCGTCGCCCTCATCGTTGCCATCGTGTGCACAAAGATCAAACCTCCCACTCGCGCGTGATGATCGTCGCTACGCGACGTGCACTCTGTACAAAGGTGGACCGACTCTGCCGAACCTGCTGTGTCGCTCACAATGCAATAGATCAACAGAGGAAGAATAATTAGTATTTTCACATTTGTACGTTGTGTGTGTGTGTACGCGCCTGCCCATGTTTGTGTGTGTTCGTTGTTTGTGTCTTTGGCCGTGTGTAGTGGGGAGCGGCGGCGCAGCTGTTAACACACCGCACTGCGAAACCCGGCGACCCGAGTTCGATTCCCGCTCGTGGCCAACGTCGGTGACGAATATCTAAACAGGTCTTTGGCCTCCCCTAGGCCGACTCGGCCTCAAATGAGCGCCTGGTGCGGTGTGTAGACGTCATCACAGGGGAGACAAAGGCGGCCATGGAGTGGTGCTGACCACCCCACCCCCTCGTGTGCTGTGCCGGTCTTCATAGGTGCTCGCTAACAGCACTTGCCCCAACAGTCTGGTGAAGGCTATACGGGGGATGCTGTCTTGGTGAACCTGCCTGCCTGCCTGCCCGTGTGTGTCTGTGTGTGTGTCTGTGTGTGTGTCTGTGTGTGTCTGTGTGTGTGTCTGTGTGTGTCTGTGTGTGTGTCTGTGTGTGTGTGTCTGTGTGCGCGCGTGAGTGCCGTCTGTATTTTTGATGATCACCGATGCAAAGGGGGTGGGGAGGGGTGGTGACGATCGCTGCTGCCCCCCACCCGTTCCATTGACAACTAAAACCCGGACGTGGAATAATAAAATCAGTGAGGGTGCGCGGAGACGTTAACTCCCTCGCCTGGTACGCAGGAGGTCGTGGGTTCGATCCCGACCCTGACGACGCCTGCTGTCTGGAGTTTGCGGTGTCTCTCGCTCTCCCCGTGGCCGCGTGGATTTTTTCGTCCGGCACCTCCGGTTTTTTTTGCCTCCACGTTTAGAATCAACGTCACGGCGTTTACGAGTGTTTGGCTGCTGCTGTAAATTTCCCCGTGATGATGATGATGATGATCGGCCACTCTGCCAGGTCGCTTCTGAGAAAGAGCTACACAGCTCCGTGGGACCTTACCTGGTAGAATAAACAAAAACAGATCAAATATCTGGAGTTTGCAGTGTCTCTCTCTCTCCATGGCCGCGTAGATTTTTTTCTCCTCCGGGTCCGCCGTTTTATTTTTTGCCTCCATTTTCAGCGTCATGGCGTTGAGAGTATTTGCCTTTTGCGATGAATTTCCAGGTGCCGGTGACGAGCCACTTTCTTGAGCTATCATTGGTGATGGGCTGGTCGCTTCTGAGAAAGCGCCAAATCGCTCAGTTGGTTACCGTACCCGGTAAAATAAAACAAAAATGGTTTATAGTTGTTCAATGTGAGTATCAAGGGTGGGTTCACCATCATTAGGCATGGGTGGTGGTGGTGGTAGAACCATCCTGGGCCTCCCTGCCTCCCATAACTTAATCCAGCCCTGACCATCATCGTCGTCGTCACCGTTGTCCTCACCGGGTCTTCCACGACGTCAATCACCAGCTGCTTGGCACACACGTCACGGAAACTCGACGTCGCTTGTTCTGGGATGTCCCTGGCTCCCCCCCGGGGCCACTTAACGGACCATCGTGGTGGTGGTGGTGGTTGTGGTGGTGGTTGTGATGGTTGGTGTGGCCGGGTTGGTGGTGGTGTTTGTGTTGGTGTAGTCTGTTTACCCGAGTTGATCCGACGATGACCACTGAACTGTTACTGTTGTTGTTTGTGTTGTTTGTGTTGCGTCGCTTGACAATAACAGACTTCGTGTCGCTATATGTGGTGGTGGTGCTGGTGGAGGGAGAGCTGCTAATCACGCCTCTAATCTATGAATATGACGCGTTGTTAATTGAGAGAGAGAGAGATGAATGAGCGTCGCACTAGCTTTCATTTTGATTTATATATAAATCGTCTCGCAATAAAAATCTATAATAAATCAAGTGCACCGGCGTTTGGCTGTGATTTTGCTCGCGGCTCGAGGCACGAGGCTCGCGTGGACAGGGAAGCTGCGACGTGGGTCTCACGCGAACCTCGTGGAAGTGGGGACGTGGGTCTCGTGTGAGCGACTCAGAGATAGAGGGCGACTCAGAGAGAGACTCAGAGAGAGAGGACGACTCGGAGAGAGAGGTCTCGGAGATAGAGGGCGACTCGGAGAGAGGACGACTCGGAGAGAGAGGGCGACTCAGAGAGAGGACGACTCAGAGAGAGGGCGACTCAGAGAGAGAGGGCGACTCAGAGAGAGGGCGACTCAAAGAGAGAGGGCGACTCAGAGAGAGGTCGACTCAGAGAGGACTACTCAAAGAGGGCGACTCAGAGGCGCCAGGAGGAGGAGCGACAGACGAGGAGTGGGAAGGCAGCAGCAGCCACGCGGTGACGAGGAGCCGGCGCCACCCAACGATTGCTCTCCAAGCTCTGCGGTTCTCTACACATGAAGATGTTTTTTTACCATTT